GCTAACCTACGTTTTCTATCTGCTAGGGCTCTACCTTTGCATAAAGGAATATCAGTAACGTCTGTCTAAATTATGTAAAATACCTCACGAGTAATGTGAGACTTATTCATTCGAGAAATTCTGACCCGACTCCATAAATGAATTAGGATACGTTACTGCTCTATGAACCTATTCTCGTAACCAAGGCTAAATTGATTCCACAAGGATAATTCTATTCTGATTCTTTTATTTGAATTGTGGAGAGTTCTGATGAGAATGTATACTCAAATTGGTTAAGGATTAGTAGAGGACCCGTAATTCTGTAAAAGCTACTTGAAGATATGAAATAACTGATAGAAGTTTCATTTATGAATTTTTGTGACTGGAATGAATTTCGAGGGAGAAATTATTTTAAGGAGGGGAGAATTGTCATACCCCAATTTAGGGGCTAAGTTTTAGAAATTATAAAGTAATGAATTTAAAATGGTATTTTGAAAGAAATTGAGGATTAAAGTGTAAAATCAAAAAGTTGGTAGACCATTTTAAGAAGTGCAAGAAAAATCAAGGACTTGAACCTGAATTTGCCCATTTTGTGTCAGGAGAGAAAATATATGTTTGGTTTCTGGTTTCAAACCAGAGAGAAAGAAACCCTAATTCTCCCTAAATTTTTTTCCTCATCGACCCCTTTTGTATCCCCAATTCTCCACCATCTGACCACCATTCTTCGACCCAAAACCACCAATAGACTCACCATTGAACGGAGAATAAAACCCGGCCTCTATTATATCATGAATCTGCATCGTTCGCTGTAAAACTCTACCGAAAGTTTCGTCGGTTTTAACTTGATAGTCGTTGGTTTTTCGTCGATTCTGGTTGATCCGACCACCTGTTCATCACACCTCCTACACCATCGGACTTACCAACATCGTACGCTCAAAACTCGAACAAAATTTTCGTATCGTTGTTGCTCCATCGTTTTCACTCGCTGGCCACCGTTTGAGAGGTTTGTACGTTTTAAAATTCTGAAATTTGTTATGTTTCATTGAAAACTAACACTTGCACGAGAATCCTGAGGTCTCGATATACTAGTCTGGAAAATCTCACGTCAAAAAGACCACCGGAGACGCCACACGCGCCGCGTGTGCCACTCTATGCGCGTGGGCTTCGTCTGGCAGTCTGGTGAGTATGTTAACCGATTTGAACCGGTCTGAACCGGCTAGACCAGTTTGAGCCAAACCAACCAAACCATTGAGTCGAGCCGAGCTGAGCCGTTGACTGAACCGTTGATCGTTAACCGAGCAGTAAATCGTTGACCGAATATTGACTTTTTTTAGTACACCTATCCTAACGTTTTTCGATAGCCTGAGTCTGTTTTGAGGTTCGTTTTGCCAAATTCAAATCAAGTAAGATGTTTTTCACTGATTAATCACCTGATTCGATCCGTTTTTCACAATTAAGCTCTGTTTTTGATGAAATTTTTGTTGATATGTATCTGAGGAATTATTGCAAGTTGATTTCAAGATCGAGGGCATTTGAATGAAGTTTAAATGATCGATCATTATGACACAAAAATCGAGATAATACATTACTACCTTTTCATGATTTATATAACATATTGGTATTGGTAAATGCATGAATGAAAATGTTTGGTCTCATTTGGGTAATTAAATAATTACTACACTCGATCCGAATACAGTTAAAATTCAATAACTGAATATGGCACAAATGACTAATACAAGAAAGTGGATGACCGTTAGAATTAAATTACAAGTTATGTGATTAAGTGATAAAATAATCAACTCCTGGATCCGTAAATTATAGTTTATCTCATTAAAGGTACTTGGATGAGAAATTACGAGAATGCTTTGATTAGGTAAAATTACAAAAATGCCCTTGAGAGGTAAAAATAGTACGAGTTGACTCTGAATGAGAAAGTACCCTGAGAATTCGTACCTAACCAGATAAATTAGAGATTTAATTTTTAAGATCCTATATTTCTACAGAAAATTCCTGATAACCTGTTTGTAACATCTGAGAAGACACTTGACCCAAAAATCTTCGAGCTAAGAGTAAATACGTGAAGAATAATTTATCGAGGGTTCTCTTTTGTCAGAATTCTTCAAAAGGTCTGGAAGAAATGATAAGTTTGAATTAAATAATAAGATCAGACGAAAGGAAATGATTGAAATATCCTAGATTTGTAAAATGACCAAAATACCCTTAGAATGTAAATGACCCAAGAATATCACCAGGCCCAGGAAAGATTGAATACCTTGAAAGAGCAATGATTTGACCATTCGACAAGTATAAGTTCTAAGAGTTTTTCAGCTCGAGTTGTTCGATAATTCGATCGATAGACATAGATGGTAAATGTCTTGAATCTTTGTTCTCCCATATCAGCTCAAATTATTCTGGTTATATCTGAAAACACAAGTAACACAGATGCAAAGGATTTCTAAATACCCTTCTGATTACTTAGTTCATCCGAACAACGTCTGAATACTATATGATCTAGATAATTAAAGTTCTAAATAACTGATGATTCCGTCAGCTAATGAACTCTATCGATAGTGATTCTAACTTCCAACATTCCATCGGTATATTAAAGATCCCTGTTTCTATATCCGATAAGATTATCCAGTACCTCTGAACCATATCTTTATCCTCTAGTGTGTTCCCTTATCATATGAATGTTTAATCTAATTTATGTTCTGATTTCTACTCTGAATTTTGTTACGATTTATGCTCTGAATTTTATTCTTATTTTTGCTCTGAATTCTATTATGATTTCTGCTCAATATTCTGTTTTGATTTCTGATATCTTCATATACTAACAAAAAATGTTTTATTCGGGACACTCTGGGATCTAGCATGAAGACTCTGACAAGTTCAGTCATTGTTGGTAATTCCTTGGATAGGTTCAGCACTGACTGGTAATTCTTTATAGACCTAAGGCGACCCTTGGGTAGGCTCTACCTCCATGATATTTTTCGTGGATAAGCCTCTGTGGCCCCGAGAATTGTCTTGTGTAAACTCTCAGGCCCCAAGGTACTCCCTTAGGTTGTACAGTTCTGAGGAATTGCACATGGTGTTCGGTTGGAGGACGATTCAGAGTTTTTAAATTAAAAACTCCTATAATGTTTTAATGAATGTGATATGTACTGATTTAAAAAAAAAACATAATTGTTTTAAATGGTTTTATGGGAACACACTAGATAATATATCCTGATCTCCTGAACTCAGTTATCTGAAATATTTCCATCTGAACTCAAAGCTTACTGTTCGTTACTATATGAAATAGCAGTAGGATCTCTGCTCAGCATAAAGATCTGTAGATGTCTGAACCAATAAGAAATTATTCATATATGTTATCTGCATGTTCCTCAGCATCGTCTGGTAGTTCTGTATTATTGAGCTTTCAAAAGCTCACTCTGTTACTCACTATTTCAGGTTAAAAGGATTAAAACCAGTACAAATATCGACATCAGTAAGAGAGTTCTTCCGGCGTTATTTTCAGGGTATGGTACATGTGATTAGGGCATGTAGTTGTATTTTGTTTTTATATTTGAGTCTGAAAATTTGTTTTATTTCTGAATACTGATAAATTTTATTTTTTATTTATAAATCATTTTATGATTTTATATGTTTTGATAAAAGTTTAAAATTTTTCGAGATTTTTACGATGGGTCGCTCCGGTGGCCCTATAGTGACACCCGGATCGGATCGGGCTAACCGCATATGTCTGAGTGGTTACATAATCAAATGATTAAACTTTTTTTGGATGATTGTTATAAATTTATTTATTTTGTGTTAACTTGGGTACCTAATTTATGACCTTTGAACTTCCTGATTGTATGTAGAAAAATTTGCAATTAGATATATAGTATTTACTTTTAAATCTAGAAATAGTTTTACTCGAATTGCTATATACTTGTGTGAGCATTGGTGTTGTTGAGTAGCATAGAGTATGCTGAAAGGCATGCATCCAATTGATTAGTGTTGTTAATATCTTGAGCCTTTGAGATGCAAAAGTTGTCAAAGTAGTTCAAGAGGTTTAAATCAATGCTAATATCATGAATTGAGTATTGGATGTTTGCATGAGATTTAAAGTTCTTAATATTGTATCCATCGATTTGATAGCTGACCAAGTGCTTCCTGAACTGGTGTTATTCTTTAATGATCTTAACATATTTTCTTTAAAATTTCATATATTTGACAAATCATATTCCTTTAAACTTTATTAATGTCGCTCTGCTCCCTGTGGGTTCAACACATGTAACTCTTTTGAGCTACCACTTTATTATTTGAACGATACATAAACTTGCGTTAAATAATATAGCATCTTACATAGTATCAAGTGTTCGGCATCGTTGTTGAGGAGTATCAATTTGATTTAGTGTTTTTAATATATCTTACGTATTAATTTTCTTATGTAGATTTCTTTGGGATTGTTTTTACTAGCGTATGTCCCGAAGTGACGATGACTTAGATATGTTTGATATAGAGATTGAAAGAACATTTTGTAGACGACGTCTTGAAGCTGCTATGGTTGGACGAGGGAATAGTATTTTACTCCCGCTATAGAATGGAGAGAATGATGTGTTGCTAGATGACATTAGAGTTGAGCAACCACATTAGAATGCAAATGATCAAAATCTCCCTATTAGTGAACATATCGTACTGATATTGGATGATTTACATCCGAGCATTGTAAGACCAATTATTAATGTTGCGAACTTCGAATTAAAGCCAATTATATTCCAAATTCAATAATCTATGGGACAATATAGATGTTCTACTGCTGAAGATCCTAGAGCCCATTTACAAGCTTTTCTGGAGGTTTGATATTCTTTTATTCAGTAAGGTGTTCTAGACGAGGCCCTAAAGTTGAAGCTATTTCCATATTCATGGCATGATAAAGCACTGGTTTGGTTGATTTCACTACTATCGTGTGATTTAGCATCTTCGAATGAATTAGCGTAGAAGTTATTGTTGCAATTCAACCCACGAATATGAATGCCAAGCTTCGAAATGATATAAATTCATTCAAGCATATTGATGATGAAAGCTTATATGAATCGTGGGAAAGATTCAAAGAATAGTTGCGGAAGTGTCCTATACATTGTTTCCCACATTGGACTCAAATGAAGATGTTTTATAATAGGTTAAATATTCATACTCGAAAGGTGGTTGATACCTCAACAAATGGAGCTTTTCTAGATAAAACATACAATGAAGCATATGATATTCTTGAGAGAATTTCCACCATCGATTGCCAATATCCTAATTCACACAATACATTTGGCCGACGTGGTGTTGTTGTAGTAGACTTGGAAGCTTTTAGTTCTATGGCATATCAGATTTCAACATTGACTAAAATGGTGAAAAAATTGCACAAACCAGGAGAAATGTATGAAGTCAAAGACACATCTCTTATTACTTGTGTATATTGTGGAGATGATCACAGTTTTGATGAATGCCCAAAAAATTTGTAATCAATCTACTATGTGCAAAATTATCAAAAGAATGATAATAGGTTTGGTAACATGTATAACCCAAATTTCAGAAATCATCCCAATCTTTCTTGGAGAAGTCAAGATATTGCCAATCAACAACATCAGTAATATCAGTCACAACAGTACACTCAACAGAGTCAAATGCCATAGCCGCAGACACATCAATCTGTTTCTCAGTCACAACAAAGGTAGAATTACCAAGGCCAATCTTCGAACAAAACGACAACCTTGAAACCTTTTGAAGCCATGATGAAAGAATATATGGAAAGCCAATTTAGTTTTGAATTGGGAAAAATGTCATTTTATGATCACAAAAGGCATGATACTGGGGCACCAAATTTTAAACCATGGCATTAAAGTGTATAAAGCAAAAGTACAAGTTATTGAGAAACAATTGGTGAATGCCCCTATTATTATATTACTAAATTGGACTTTGCGCTTTGAATTAATGTGTGATGCTAGTGATTTATGCGATAGGAGCAGTATTGAAGCCTTTGTTTGCTAAGAAGGATACAAAAGGAGTTTCTAGATGTGGTGTTCACATTTGATAAATTTTGTTCCTACTTGGTAGGTACAAAAGTGATTGTTTATATCGACCACTCAGTGCTGAAGCATTTGTTTGCTAAGAAGGATACAAAACCTCATTTGATTCAATGGGTGCTTTTACTCCAAGAATTTTATATTGAGATTCAAGATAAGAATGGATATGAAAATCAAGTGGTTAATCACTTGTCTAGGCTAGAATCAGATATCAAAGATGGTAGCATTGCAATAATTCCAGACGAATTCCTTGATGGGCGTCTGTTAGCTGCTACAGCATTAGCATGGTATGTTGATTTTTCCAACTAACTTGTTAGTGGGATAATGCCACTGGCCTTAATTATCAAGGTCGAAGGAAATTTTTGTGGTATGTGAAGTAATACCATTGGGAGGAGCTGTATTTATTTAAACAATGCAATGATCAACTTATACGACGATATGGTGGAAATTTTGGTGGTATGCATCATTGTCATAGTGCCCCATATGCTGGAAATTTTGGTGGTATGCGTATAATAACGAAAGTGCTTCAATGTGCATACTATTGGCCATCACTTTTTAAAGATGCTAATAACTTTGTAAAGCATTGTAATCGTTGCCAGCGAACTGTGAATATTTCTCGACGAAATGAAATATCGATGCAACCTATATTGGAGATTGAGCTATTTGATGTGTGGGGATTAGACTTTATGGGTCCATATCCTTCTTCATGTGGTAATTTCTTCATTTTAGTTTCTATAGATTATATATCCAAACAGGTGGAAGTTGTAGCCATGCCAATCTACAATGCTAAAGCAATATTGTGATTCTTGCATAAAAATATTTTTACTCGCTTTGGAACATCTCGTGCATTTATCAGCGATGAAACATCTCAATTTATTGGTTATCAGGTTTCCAGAGCATTGAATAGATATAGAGTGAAGCATAATATTGCTACAACATATCATCCATAGTCTAATGGCCAGACCAAGGTGTTTAACCGAGAAATCAAGCAAATCCTTGAGAAAATTGTGAACCCTTCTCCAAAGGATTAGTCCCAACGCCTTGACGCAACACTATGGGCCTATAGAATTGCTTATAAGACTCCATTGGGAATGTCCCCTTATCGTCTTGTTTATGGAAAATATTCTCATTTACTGGTGGAGTTGGAGCATTAAGCTATATGGGCATTGAAAAGGTTGAATTTTGATCTGAATGTTGCTAGAGAACAGCGGATGCTGGAGCTTAATGGGTTGGAAAAACTCCGAAATAATGACTACGAGAGTTTGTGCATTTATAAGGACAATAGAAAGAAATGACATGATCATAATATCTTGCTAAGGGAATTCATTGCTGGAAAACAAGTGTTGTTATTTAATTCGAGACTAAAGTTATTCCTTGGGAAATTACGTTCTCGAAAGTAAGGCCTTTTTGAAGTTCTTGAAGTTTTCCCTCATGGTATAGTATTATTGAAAAACTTGGTGGATAGAAGCACATTTAAAGTCAATGGGCAACACTTAAAGCATTATTGTCAACAACAAAACCCAAGCATTGGTTCAATCACACTAAGTGATTCTTCTTCTTTCTAATTTTTTTTTTAAAAGTCAATTCTTTAGACATATATTTATATGAACTTATTTTCTTTATTTCTTTTTGTACATGTTTTTTCGTTTGATCATTCTTAGTTAGCTTCAGACTTTGGTTTATATCTTTGATGTATTGATGCCACAACGCTGCAAGGACAACCAACTAAGTTCTAACGGTAAAACTCAATATGAACTGTTACCTATTTAATCCTCTTTCAATTTTCAGCGTTCATTTTACCCTATCATAACGACTCCATCGTCAGTCTTTTTAAATTTTAAAATAATATTTTATCCCTTCTTTCATGCAACCTAATTACCCATATTTATTATACTTCATCTTCTTCATACGCCTAAAACCCTTGGTAACTTCTTTCACTTTTCTTCACCTATCTTCAAATTGTTATGGCACCTAAAAATAAATAAAGTTCAAAAATATCAGGTCGAACATTGACTCTTCCTCCTGCTATAGCTACGTCGCTGGCAATGTCCCCATTGAAGGAAGTCACACGATTCATGGATGATGAGCACATATGGTGTTATGAGGAGGAATTTAAGGATCAATAATTTTGTTATGAGCAGGGCTTTGATTTGTTAATAGAGAACGAGCCCGAAATCTTCCATTATATCTCTCAATTGATCACTCAACAAGGTTTGCAAAAATTCTCTGAACACCCCAATGACATAAACTAGCACATCATTTGGGAATTATACAGAAATATCATCAACCATACTAAGCGTCTAGTCTTTGTTTGATAGTAGATGGTTCATTGGTGGGCAACATCAATAAATAATTTGTAGGGCATCATCGATGAGACATGTGAGCGTACAATATTTATGGATAGCCTAACAGAGAAAACCTTTGAGCAACTAGGGCAAGATGTTTGCTTACCCGATCATTCAGGGATGAGATCATCTACAATAGTTAGAACCATGAGACACTTAAATATCCATCGAGACGTACGAGTATGGTTTATTTTCCTTAGAACTCGATTAATGCCAACCATGCATTTTTTCACAATTACTAAGGATCAAATCTTGTTTTTCATTCCATTTTATTTTGAAGAAAAATTGATGTTGGTAAAATAGTTTTTGTTGAGATATTTGTTTGTGGTCAGAATACTTTTGGTTATTTGTATTTTCCATCGCTAATTACTGCTTTGTGCTCTCAAACATAAGTATTTATTTTTCGTCTGATAATCTTACAGAGAATCCAAGCACAATCACCCCGGTTACTGTAAAGCGAACATTGTTAAATGAAGCGCTAGACCTTAATGAAGGCCCTGAGGAACCTTCTGTTCCCATGGGTACAACGTAACTCCCACTTATTGATGACCAAACTTTGGAGGGCCTTAGAACAAATATATCATCGATTGGTGTTAAGCTGGATTAGGCTATGGCATTGCTGAGCCACTCTCTTCAAAATTAGTCCTAGATGCACAGTGCCCAGGTTCAGTATTGTGAGTATGCAAAAAAGCGATATCAAGCAACCAAAACTAAGTTTTCCAAGTTGTTTACAGAGGCTGTAACCTTATTCCCAAATTTTCCAGCTAAGATTTTAAAAGACTTGGTGCAACCCAAAATGCCTGATGTTGACCATATTTCTGCTAGTACCGAGACTCCCAATGCCACGCAGCTAGGAGGGGAAGAAGAAAATATGGCTATCGATACCATGTTCATGGAGAGTGAAGAGGAGAACGATGATCAATAAGAGGATTTAAAGAAAACTACTGAGATTTTACATATAGATAAGGAATTTCTTGAATAAGAAGAACATGTCTGCAACGATCCACTGTAGGAAAAGGCTACGGATGATGTCGATGCCCCAGCAGACCAAGTGGTTTCTCAGTTGCTGAGTTTAAATGCCACCACAATTAAAGAAACAACCATTGTCATTGATGATCCAAAGTTAGTTTCAGTGACAGTGATACATATTGTACTCGTTGCTGTAGATAAATCAGTTACTGTGAATCAGCCGAAGAGCACTCACCTCACACAGGTCGTTGGAGTTACGAACCTACACCAGAACCACAACAAAAGATGGATACCACAACATCCACAACTCTAGTCTCTACTGCTGTATGATGAAAGCCTCAATAGCATCGGCCAGTCAAAAGAGAAAAGCTCGGTGAAGGAAAGGACAATAGCAAAGCGACTCTGTCCAAACGTTATTAGCCCACAAAAGAGCTCAAGAAAGCCCACTTAGGGGAGTGTTTCTTACCTTTCTCCTATTTTATTTTATTTTGTTTTTGTTGCATGCATTAGGGACAATGCATCCCTTAGGTTTGAGGGTGTGTTGTTAGGTTTAAATGTTGCATTTAAGAATATAGTTTGCATATAGAATTGCATTGGCAAAACCTTAGGATAATTTAGAAAAATTAATGAAATAGTTTAGGAAATTTTGATGATGTTTGATGATGAATATCAATTGAAATGAAATGCTATAGGAATTTTGTAGAAACCCTTCAAATTAAGGATCCTTAGATAATTTTTTACACATAGGTGTATGTTTTAAATAATTAGAAATTTAGAAACTTTCAAGTTGTAAACCTCTTATCTTTATTTAGATGCTATAGCAATTATTTTATGTTTGAAAAAAATGAGTCTTATGAAATAAGTTGGGTAATACTAATAAAAGCTCCAACATAGTGAGAGAAGTAAGTTTGATTTCCAACATTGGTGAGGAAATATTGTTGTAGCTGTCGAAACGATTTTTTTCTTGAAGGGTGAAAAAATGTGAGATTTTGAAAACCACATTAATTCTTAATTGCCTCTTTTCGTTTTAAAAACATATGCGATTTAAAAGACCTCTCGTTTCGAAAAATTTGAATTTCCTTTACGATCGACAAATACGGTTCGAAGAGTCGCCACCAATCTTTGATTAGGGTGTGATTGGACACCCAAAAATGCTTTGTCATTTTAAATAAAAATTAATTTTAATTAAAACAACAAATTGAGGTCTGCGTTACCAAAATCCGAGTTCGGGAGTCGGTTACGTGTGGGGAAGGATTAGCACCCCCACAACGCCCTAAATTGGTACCTAGTCGATTAATTAACGTCTTTGCAATGAACTTTACAAATTCGAATTTATTTTAATTTTTAATCCCATAAAACAAAAATGTAAATTTAAAACATTCAAAAACACTCAAACAAATTAACTTAAAATTACCAAGTCATTTTAGAAAGATAAAGAATGTTCGATTATTTACAAATATCGAGACCAGATCTTAAAGATATAACAACCCTTTCTTGATATATTTAAATAAACGAACATTTCTTTTTCTCTCGTTCCCAAATTTTAGGTGACGAATCAATTTTTTTGTTTCACTTTCGGGATACATTTTTACTTTAAAATCATTAAAAGCGGACCTCAAATCAGTTATGACGGCCCACTTCAACAACTTTAAATTAAAAGGGTATTACCCTTAGTCCGATTATATAATAGGTCGAGTCATGCAAATAAGGCTATCATGCAAATTGTGAAAAAAATATCAAGCTAAAATTAATTAAACAAAAAAAAACATACAATGTAGTATACAAAAAAAAAATTATAAATACGTAATACATATTTTAATTAAAAATCATAAATCATGCATATTAACGTATTATGTATACAAATGTGACCTAAATATAAAAACAAAATCATAACATGCCAGACTATGAATTTTCAAAAAAAACGATATATACATATTAGAATTAGGACTATATTTAAATAAATGTAAAATTCTACATACAAATTAAAACTAAGTAGGGATCTAAATGAAACATGCGTATAAATGAGGGATCTACACCCGAATAATCTAACAAAATTATAACTAAAACTAAAAACCGGAAAATAACTAAATTAGGACAAACACAACAGGCCAAATTCAAAAATTAACCCTCAGGTGACTAATTTACAATAAGACACTTAAATGGGGGACTAGATCATAATTTAATCTTCATCTTCAGTGACTAAAAACTAATTTACCCAAAAGAAATAATATAAAACCTAAATAATCTAAAACCTAAATAAGCTAAAACCTAAACTAATTTAACTTCACGCAGAACATGTGTTGCATAGCTCCCCTCTCTTCTCTCCTTCTTCGCACACTGCCCATCTATTTCTCGGCCACGCACAGCGCCGCTCTCCATAGGCCCCATGGCTGGTCATTTGGCCTCTCAATCCAACCGCTATAGAACTCTACCAGGTAAGACCCTAATCCTAACTCGAACTAAGCTAACATTTGATTTTCGTTTAACACCCATTTTCTTCCAAATTTTAGATCCGTAGCCTAAGAATGAAACTAAACCTTGAATGCTCTAAATCTAAGTTTGAATCCGGGATTCTCTCGACTCCAGCGACGTTACAACTCCAACGAAGGGACCTCAACGATTGTCTACTTCTCTACTTCGACAGTAAACTAGACTCACTCTATTTCCTTTGTTTTGAGTTTTGAATTTATATGGAAAGCTATTAAAACAAATATATAAAAAATTTGCAAATGAAAATAATCATAGAAATAAAATCTTACAGGAATTGAATTTTGAGTTTGCTTTGTATTGCTTTCGAAAAAGGTAAGGTACCCCTGTTATATTGCGTACTCTTTGAACAGCTCCGGCCAGGAATAATACTTACACACTCTTTTTATATTTGCTTTGTTATAGAAAAAAATGAATGAATGATTTTCTGGGCATTTGTTCTTGCGCTTTTCTGATTTTTTCCAGAAAATGGTCTCTGCCTTTTCTCTCGTTCTCGTTGACTCCCTCTCCCTGGTGTGAAATCTTTTTTCCTTTCACAAGTTGATGAGTGGTTCCCCCGTTCTCCAACTGACCATCTCCCCCTTTTGCTATGATGAGTGGTTAATGCCTCAAAAAAAAACCGACCCTCACCTCCACTTTTCTTTTTAACTCCCAATAACCATTTTTTTAGTTTTTTAGGATTTCACGTGGACTGGGCTTGGTCATTGAATTGGGACTCCAACTACTTTGCTTCGGGTCTGCTCCGACTTAGGCCCGGATAAATCGAGCATCTACAGCTGCCCCTCTTTGCCCATTGTCGTGTAACGAGAATAGAGCAAAGATCAAAAGATGACCGAATTTGTCTGGTCCTAAGAATGTTACGTCAGGATAAATACTTGAAAAATCTTCAAATGACGAGCCTGCTCCCTATTCCTTCAGGAAGTATAAGACTCGAACAATCTTCATAAAACGTGTCTTCTCTCTATTCATTCAGAGAGTATAAGACTTGAACAATCTTTAATAAAACGGGTCCGCTCTCTATTCCTTCAGAGAGTATAGAACTCGAAAAATCTTCAATAAACAGGTCTGCTCCCTATTCTTTCAGGGAGTATAGGACTCAATCTTCAACGAACTTGTCCGCTCCCTATTCATTCAGAGAGTATAGGACTCAATCTTCAATGAACTTGTCTGCTCCCTATTCATTCAGAGAGTATAGGACTCAATCTTCAACGAACTTGTCCGCTCCCTATTCATTCAGAGAGTATAGGACTCAATCTTCAATGAACTTGTCCGCTCCCTATTCATTCAGAGAGTATAGGACTCAATCTTCAACGAACTTGTTTGCTTCACTACTCTTTCGTGAAGGCTTATAGATGATTTGCTTCAAAGGTCAAACCAGTTATCTTCATCTCGATGCTTTCATATCTTCAATCTTCAACTATCCCTGGGAAACCTGTAGATATTTAAACCATCATGTGATTATGAATGCCATGATCCTACTCATGCCTAAAATGTATGCAATTATGCAATTCAATGTGTTTTCTTCTTTATAGGAACTCTATCTCCTTTTGATCTCGATGGAACTCAGCTTCATCTTGGGCACAGAACGTTTGATCAGTTCACCCCAGTTGACAAACTCAATTCCATATCTCTCGGCTTAACAGTACCTTGACTTATTTCTTTCTTGAAACCCGTCAGTATCCCTGACCAACTTCTCGATCAATGATAATCTCCTTGGGTCATCTTTTAATGGCTGAGATTTTCTTTGAATTTGAGGATTTTAGTTTCCCATGGCCACACAAGCTTACATTTTTAAACCATTGTCAACTTCAGAATACCTGCATTTTCCTAAATCTTTTGCACAATAATACAAAATGATCTCATGTACTTCAAGTTAAGCCATATGTTTTAACCTTTCAAAATAAGATGTTTGCAAAAGGAAAATTATCAAGAAAAGACATCTCTTTATTTATATAAATACAGAGAATTTTAGGCAACTAAATGGCAAACTTTTAACTGGAAACAGTAAAAGAACAAAAGAGTAGGCGTCTTCAAATATTAATAATGCAAATGCTTTTGAACTGGCACGCCGTTAGAATGTCTCAAGCGTAGCTTCTGTCAAAAGGATCTCCAAAATTGTGATGCTTAAGAGTATGAAGCTACTTCTAAATTCCCAAATCTCTATCATTAGATGCCCTAAACCAGTATTGAATCTCATGTGCATTCAATTTCTCTTGGTTATTTCAATCGAGACTCATTAATCTTTAGTCTCATCCCTGATCACCAACTGTCATTTTTACTATCCATATCAGGAGCTATTTCCACTTCCAAAATTAATTCAGAACCTTCCACCATGCACGAATTCTGAATTTCAAATTCAACTCAAGTCGCCCTTTGCGGGTTTTCAACTTGAGACCTCCTTTGGTTCCAAGACGCCCTTTTCGGGTTTTCATCTTGAACCCCTCTTTTATTTCTCTTTTTTTTCATTTTTCTCTTTTTTCATTTTTCATTTTTTTTCTTCCCTTTTCCATTTTTTCTTCTTTTTTTCCTTTTCGTTTTTTCCATCATTTTTCTTTTTTCTCATTTTTTCTTCTTTTCTCTTTTATTTCTTCTTCAAGCAAAATATCTCTTAACAGCGTCGGAATTCACTGGATATGGTAATTCTGATCCGTCCATTTCAGTTAGGACTAGAGCTCCCCCTGAAAAGGCCTTCTTGACAACATAAGGTCCTTCCCAATTGGGCATCCATTTTCCTCTGAAATCCTTCTGAATAGGCAAAATCCTTTTAAGCACCAAATCTCCCTCATGGAATTCTCGAAGGCGAACTTTCTTACCATGTGCCCGTATCATACGTTTTTGGTACATCTGACCATGACAAATAGCTTTCAATCTCTTTTCTTCAATCAAATTCAACTGGTCATACCTAGCTTGGACCCATTCTGCCTCATCAAGCTTTACCTCTGACAAAATCCGAAGTGAGGGAATTTCCACCTCAATAGGTAAGACAGCTTCCATCCCATAAACCAAAGAAAATGGTGTTGCCCCAGTTGAAGTCCGTACTGAAGTTCGATAAGCAAACAGAGCAAAGGGCAACTTTTCATGCCAATCCTTATAGGTCTCAGTCATTTTCTCTATGAGCCTTTTGATGTTCTTATTGGCCGCCTCTACTGCCCCATTCATCTTTGGGCGATAAGTGGTGGAATTATGATGTTTTATTTTGAACTGTTTACAGACCGAGTCCATCATCTTATTATTTAAATTCAACGCATTATCGGAGATAATCCTCTCTGGTAAACCATATCTACAAATGATCTCCTTCTTCAAAAATTTGCATATTGTAGACTGGGTAACATTTGCGTAAGAAGCCGCTTCTACCCACTTGGTGAAGTAATCTATGGCTACCAGAATGAAACGATGACCATTTGAAGCTTTGGGTGAAATTTGTCCAATAACATCCATGCCCCACATTGAGAATGGCCACGGAGCTGTCATTACATGCAACGGATGAGGAGGAGTATGTATCCTATCTCCATAAATCTGACACTTGTGACATTTTCGAGCATAATTGATACAGTCTGTTTCCATAGTTGACCAATAATACCCAAATCTCATAATTTGCCTAGCCATAACATGCCCATTAGCATGGGTACCACATATTCCCTCATGCACTTCTTCAAGAATCAATTTGGCTTCTTTCGCGTCCACACATCTTAACAAAACCTGATCCAGGCTTTTCTTGTACAGAGTCTCACCATCAAGCACATACCCTGATGCCATTCTTCTAATGGTTCTCTTATCATTCTCAGTAGCCTGTTCTGGATAACCCTGATACCTTATATATTGCAAGATATCATAATACCAGGGGTTTCCATCTTCTTCCTCTTCGATATTAAAACAATGGGCTGGATACTCATAAGCCTTCATTTCAATGGGCATCATATTTGAATGCTCGTTCATCTTAAACGCTGCTGCCAGTGTGGCTAAGGCATCTGCCATTTGATTCTCTTCTCTGGGGAGGTAATTGAAAGTTACTTCATCAAATTCTTCAACAAGTTCCATAACTAACTTACGGTATTCTACAAGCTTGGGATCTTTTGTCTCCCATTCTCCTCTGAGCTGGTATATTACCAAAGCTGAATCCCCATACACTTTAAGCATTTTTACTTTGCGTTCAACAGCAGCTCTAAGACCCAGAACACAGGCTTCATACTCGGCCATATTGTTTGTACAATCAAAATTAAGCCGACTGGTGAAAGGATAATGCTCTCCTTCTGGTGAGACCAAAATTGCCCCGATTCCATGTCCCAAGGCATTTGAAGCACCATCGAAGTTCAACTTCCAATATTTGCTACTGGATGCAACTACTTCTTCTACCGAAATAGCCATTAAATCTTCATCCGGGAAATCAAAGCTCAACGACTCATATTCCTCCGAAGCCCTGCTTGCAATGAATTCCGCTATAGCACTTCCTTTAATTGCCGTCTGGTTTACATACTGGATGTCAAACTCGGACAATAAGATCTGCCAACGAGCTAATCTTCCAGATAATGCAGGCACACCCATTAGATATTTCAAGGGATCAAGCTTGGATATAAGCCAAGTAGTATGATACAACATATATTGCCTAAGCCTTCGGGTAGCCCATACTAAAGCACAACACAACTTTTCAATGGGTGAGTATCTTGTCTCACATTCAGTGGACTTCTTGCTGAGATAATAAATAGCCCTTTCTTTCTTCTCAGTTTGATCACGTTGCCCCAGCACACACCCCATTGAATTTTCATAAACTGACAAATAAAGAATCAAGGGTTTGCTTGAGATGGGTGGTGCTAAAATTGGAGTGCTCGACAAATATCTCTTCACTGTTTCAAAAGCTCTTTGACAGTCTTCACTCCATTCCTCTGGGTTATTCTTGCGAAGAAGGCGGAATATGGGATCACACTTTTCAGTCAACTGCGAAATAAACCGACCTATGTAATTCAATCTCCCCAAAAATCCTCTGACTTCTTTTTGTGTTCGTGGGGGTGGCAAGTCCTGAATAGCCTTTACTTTATCTGGGTCTATTTCAATTCCTTTTTGGCTTACTACGAAACCCAATAACTTCCCAGATGTCACCCCAAAAGTACATTTATTTGGGTTGAGTTTTAACTGGCATCTTCTTTGTCTTTTAAAAAGCTTTCTCAAATTCACAATATGTTCTTCCTCTGTCTTGGCTTTGACTATCATATCATCGACATAAACTTCTATCTCTTTATGCATCATGTCGTGAAATAACGTTACCATGGCCCTTTGATATGTTGCCCCTGCATTCTTCAGTCCAAACGGCATTACTTTATGGCAAAACGTTCCCCACATGGTAACAAATGTTGTTTTTTCCATATCTTCAGGGTTCATCTTAATTTGATTATAGCCAGAGAAACCATCCATAAAAGAGAACAAAGAATTTCCAGCAGTATTATCCACTAGAGTGTCTATATGTGGCAAAGGAAAATTATCTTTTGGACTAGCTCGGTTGAGATCCCTATAGTCAACACACATTCGAACTTTCCCATCCTTCTTCGGTACTGGGACAATATTAGCTACCCATTCAGGATATTTGGCCACTTTAAGAAACCCGGCATCAAATTGTTTCTTCACTTCCTCTTTAATCTTGAGCAGCATCTCAGGTTTCATTCTTCTCAGTTTTTGCTGTACCGGTTTACATTCAGGCTTTATTGGCAGTTTGTGAACAACCAACTCTGTATCTAAACCCGGCATATCTTCGTATGACCAAGCAAACACATTCTTGTATTCTTGAAGCAATTCTATCAAATCTTGTCGACCTCCAACTGACAGAGTGGTACCAATCTTTACTTCCCTCTTATCCTCATCTGTCCCCAAATTCAAAATCTCAGTAGACTCTTTATGAGGCAAAATCTGCTTATCTTCATTCTCCACCATTTTCAGCAATTCAGAAGGTAATTCACATCCCTCATCATCATCACAATCTTCGATTTCCCCTTGACATATAGGCTTCTCGAAATCAATCTCCGGGTCAGAGTCATTGGCATTCATATTATTGATATCTGAGCTCCTGAAAAAATAATGAAAGAGAAGATATATATACATATATACATATGGGAGGATCTTTTCCCATATAAATAAATAGAAAGAAATAAATACATACATACATATATACAACAAAGAATGAATGAATGAAATGCATGAGAAAATGTTTGCCATTTGGAACTAACAGAATGCATCTTTTATTGAAAGCAAGAAAAAACAAATAGCTTAACCCTTTACATAAAATCACCTATTGCCCCAGGGTATGAACAACAGGGAGAAAGTTCCAGTGCATTACTCTGTAACAGATTTGTAAACTACAGGCAGTTCTTTCGCGGTCCAATTGTTCAACACGAAGCCCGGTGGTGCAGGATAAATGCCCATAGCTCTTATTTCCTCGGATTCATCATCAGTTATAACATTAATGCCTAAATCTCCCAAGGTATCCTCAACTATCACCTCGGTTTTCCTTGAATTCCCTTGAAACATATGCCCCCCAGACATGAAAATGCTACTCAACGACGGGAAGGTCATGGGTTCCCAGCTAAGGTCTTCACCAGCCAATCTGGCCTTTCTGATTTCTTGGCCCTTCTTAATTCCCCTCATCTTATCTCTCGAAGTTGGCTGATATCCCAAACCAAATCGATCTTTTTTAGTAATAGGGCATATGGGATTCACCGGTCCTTGCAACTGTCAGCCTAAACCCTTTCCAACTTTTGCTCCTCTTCCAAGAGTCAATTTAAGCCCCATCTTGGTACAGTTTGACAATCGAGGCTTTGGTATCTTCTTGCCTTCGGCCACAAACGTAGCATTGACAAACTCCAACGATCTGAAAGAACACTCGACGGCTTGCTCATCAACTTCAATATACGGAGCAGTAGTAGAAACAGAAGTAATAATGTCCTCTTCAGCATGAATACATACCAACCTTCCATCAATCACAAATTTCAGTCTCTGGTGCAATGTGGACGGAACTGCACCGGCCTGATGAATCCAAGGTCTTCCCAACAAACAATTGTACGTAGGCATAATGTCCATTACAAGAAATTCCACTTCATAAGTTGCTGGACCAATATTCAGAGGAACATCAATCTTGCCCAACACTTCTCTTTTAGTCCCATCGAAAGCTCGAACCACACTTTGACAGGTTCTCATAAGTGTACTATCTAATGGAAGCTTCTTCAGAGTCACTAAGGGCATCACATTCAAAGCTGAACCATTATCAACTAAGACCCGGGACAACACATGCCCTTTACATTTAACTGTAATGTGCAAAGCCTTCTGACTACCAATCATCCCAGAAGGGATCTCATCTTCAGAAAAAGATAAAAAATTATCAGCTTGTATATTGGAAACTAACCGATCCAACTTTTCAATGGGCAACTCTTTCGGAACAAAAGTCTGGTTCAAAACCTTTAACAGAGCATTCCTATGGGCCTCTGAACTCAAAAGTAATGATAAAACAGAAATACGGGCAGGCAACTTGTGTAATTGTTCCACAACACTGTATTCACTGTGTTTCAGAAACTTCAAAAATTCTACCGCTTCACTCTCGGTTACTGGTTCATTGATAACAGGCTTATCCTCTTCTATCTGCACATCAACTTTTTTCCCCTTATCAACTACAACCTTCTTCTCAGACTCTTTAGGTGGATTAAGAGAATAACACCTACCACTTCTAGTAAAGCGTCCCACCTCATCTATTTCCTCATTCTCTTTTGTTACATCTCCCATCTGGCAATCATATCTCCAAGGCACTTGTTTATTATCCCGATATGGGAATGGAGATGGAGGTGTAATAACCACTTTCGGGGCTACCTTCTCAGCAACTCGATTTTTGGGAGTAATAATTAGGGGACAACTGGCATTGTATACCCCTTTAGACGATCCTTCTGAAGCGCAAACTTCCGCTTCCTCTTCTTCAGCAATCTCTCTAAAGAACTCAATTTCTTTATTGTCCATCATGTCTTGTACCAAAGATAGGAAATCAGGACATTGCTGAATACTGTGTCCTTCACTGTTATGATACTGACACACCTCTCCACTGTTAAACTGTTCACCCATCAAACTGGGTTTCAACAATCCTACCTTGACCATCTGGCACCACACCCAACTCATGGGTGATACCACCTCACTAACATTCTTTACAATTCTCTTTCTTTTCTCTTCAGTAATCGCGTTAACTCCTGCCCCTGCATGGCTTGGCAACGGATTCTGAGCTATATTTGGCTGCTCACTGTCACCAAAGTTGATGGCATTCCTCATTCTCAAAGCTTGGACAACCTTCTTAAAAGCAGTACAATTCTCAATGGAATGCCCAGGGTTCCCTGCATGGTACTCACACTGAGCACTAGCGTCATACCATTTGGGCAAAGGAGGTTGCATTGGTGTCACGTGATACGGTGAAACCACATGCCGATCATACAAAATCTGAAACAATTCCTTATAAATCATCGGGATAGGGTCAAATTGAGGCCTCTCTCTCCTCTGGTCCCTTGCCCCTTGTCTATTATCATTTTGTGTTGATGACCCTGCTCCTTGAGGACGGGAAACAGTAATGTTATTAGAATCGTACTGCCTCACATTACTGACTTCGTTTTCCTTTTTCCTCGTTGGTGGTCTCTTACTACACTCTCCTCCCTCGAGCTTCCCACTCTTAACAGCCATTTCAATCATTTCTCCCGCCGTAACTACATCAGCAAAACTTCGATAAGGATTACCGATAAGATGCGAGAAAAAAGGAGCCTTTAAGGTGTTGACAAAAAGCATATTTGTTTCCTCCTCTTCCAATGGCGGGTGGACTTGCACTGCTACATCTCTCCATCTTTGAGCATATTGTCTAAAACTCTCGTTAGACTTCTTTTCCATTCCTTGCAACATCATCCTGTTAGGCCTAACATCCTTCACATGTTTGTATTGCTCAAGAAAGGACTTAGCCAAGTCTTTCCACGATTTAATATTAGCTCTACTCAGCTGGTTATACCATCGGATTGCCGAGCCAGTTAAACTTTCCTGAAAGCAGTGTATCAACAATTGATCGTCCCCTATGTATCCGGTCATCTTCCTACAAAACATTGTGATATGTGCAGAGGGGCACCTGGTACCATCAAACTTTTCAAAGTCAGGAACTTTAAACTTTGGAGGCAAGACCAGATCAGGAACTAGACTTAACTCCTTTGCGTCGAATCCATAGACACTGGTATCTTCCTTCATGGCTCTGACCTCTCTTTCTAACTGCTTCCATTTCTCTTCCAGCAGATTGTTTTGGTCCTTCTTGGCTTCTTCATCAAGGTCCGGAACTTGATGATATTGATGTTCTTCCTGATATGAACTAGATCCAGGCTGTACGTTTACAGAAGCACCGACTGGATTAATGTGCACCTTCCCGACATGAACAGGGGTCACTTGAACATTCTGAGATTGTTCTGGGGTTAACCCTGGATGATGAAGTGGGTCTTCAGTTACACCTTCTGGTATAGGGCTTTTCCCATGTTCTGGATTTCTTCCTTCCAACATACTCGCAAACTTGGCAAACATCTCCTTTTGGGCATTCATCATATCTTCTTGCATTTTCTTGATATTATCTTGTAACTCCGACTGAGCCTTCTCAATTTGGGCAAGTTTGTCTTCCATAACTTTCTTCCTGGTTCTGTAGATATACTTGGGATTTTCCAGTATTACTCTGTCACAGAGTCATTTTGTTATCGCTGATATTTATTAATGAATATAAAAATATATGATTATGAATGAATAAAATGCGATGCAAAAAACTAAATGCATTAAAAATGCATATGCAAAATGCAGGGTGTTGATCCTGGAACGACTCCTTAGAACAACTCTTTATATTAGAACGACGTTCAATTACAAAGTTGAAACATATCACAAATAAATTTGCACCATCTCTCCTATTTCTTGTACGTGTGCTAGCAACTCCACGATCTTCTGGTTTTCTTCAGCCTCGGGATCCAGTTCTTCAGTCACATCAGCAGCTTCCTCAGATAGAATGACCAAATACTGAGCTATTCCCCGCGCGTGGTTTAGGTAACAAGCAATAAAATCCTCTATTTGCTTAACTCTCGCCTGAGCTCGCTCCCACCGAAAACGCCACTGTATCCCCCTCATAGGGAACTATCGATAACTCACTTGCTTGCCTCTGAAAATCTTGAACCATGGCTTCAAGCTCACTCACTTGTTTTTTCAGACTTTCAACCTCTCCCTGGCTCGAGCTACCTTCCTTGTTTCGGTACCGTCGTAATGCAATCTCTAAACTTGGAATTTTCTCCTTCAACTTCTCATTCTGGGCTTGACTCTCTTGTAACCGATGCTCTAAAGAATCATTTTCCTTCGATAAAATCTTAACTCGGTGCCTGCTTTGCTTGAGCTCTTCTTGACTCTCTCCGGCTACTCTTTTGAGGCTCGCCACCTCTTGCCTCAATTCGACAGACTTACTCGAGCTAGAACCTACTTGAGCTTTTACCATTCACTGATAAGTTGACCGAAGATCGTCAAAGTCTAGCCGAAGTTGCTTCTCTACTTTTTCAATTCGATCTGCTCTACTCTTCTGAATGTCAATCTCCAATCCTTTTTGATACACTTCATCTTCTAGCTTCTGCAAAGTCATTCTCCATTGTCTTCGTTCTGCTTCGAAATCGCGCTTGGCTAACTCTAATGGAGATGGCACCACTCTCAACTGTTCCTCCACTGGCTGAATATTTTCAGGATTCACCATCAGGATATTGTCATTTACTCGACCGCTTCTCCATTGCTCGTACTCTTGAGATAACTCGAGATCATAAGTGAACAGATTCACACGACGAGTTTGCTTCCAAGCCTCAGCAACCCCTTTAACTTTAACCTTATACTGATCTCCTTTGAATGCAAAATCCGATCCTACCAAGTCCCACGTGGCTGGGATGAACTGCCTCGGTCCATACTGTCTGGAAACTAGTAGCGGTGCATACCCAACAGAACCCCATATACCTGACAAAGGAACCCAATCTCGCTCTCCACATCGGTAAAGTATATCCGAAGAGGTATTCCACGAAGCTCGCCATAAAATATCTCCATCTCTGATATCCTTGAAGATGACCATCCATTTTTCTTCAGTAAAACCCTCAGGCCACTCTTTAGAAAGAAAATCTTTCAAAGGCGAAAACCCCTCTAGAAACACTCGTCCTGGTGCTCTTTCAACATGTTTAAAATGATTCAGAATCCACACTAGCAGCAAAGGCGCACATCCTATAAAGCGTCCTTCTCCCTCGCGCCTACAAGAACTCAAAGACCGAAACGTCTCAGCTAGAATAGCTGGAACAGGATCCACGTGCTTGTCTAATCTTTCAAACAGGTCAACAACTGATACGTCTACATATCCTAGCACTTTTGGAAAAATAACAAGCCCATAAATCCCTAAAGCAAACAAGTCAAGCTTCTTTCTTTTATCAGGATGATGAGCAATTACTTCTTTCAGAGCAGCCCAAGAGATGAACTCACTGTCTCCCTTCTTCTTAATGTTTCTGACTACCCAATCTTCACTCATTCCGGTCATCAATAGTAATTTTTTCTTAAATGAAGGAGTGACTGGCAGCTTGGTATATATTCTATCCATTTGGGACCTCGGACAACAGACCAAAGCTTGATACTCCTCTATTGTTGGTGTCAGGTCCACCCTACCAAATGTGAAACAGCTATAAGCCGGATTCCAGAACTGCGCCAATGCTCTAAACAGATTTCGGTCAATAGGAACATCCAGAAGACAAGGAATATCGCCGTACAACTAATAAAACATCTCCTTATCGGCTGCTTCCCATCTTCCCCATATCTCTCTTAGCTCACTCAGATCATTCTGACGTACGTTGATGTGAGTGTAACCAAATAACTCTGACACATATCCAGGCATCACGTTGTCTCCATTGGTCAACTGGGACTGTTCCGACCACCTCAGAACATCTGCATTGTCCTCAACCTCTTTCCGAACCGTTTGTTCCATATTACTGGCCTTCTATATGGACATCGACCCCAAATCAACACCATGTAATGGACAATGCAATGCAACACAGAAAAGAAACAAGGCAAAAACAACAAAAGATCGGTTAGTAAACATAAAGCAATTAAGTCGGGATAATAATTTATTCAAGAATCCTACCCACATGCTGGCTACCCAATCATGCTTTATCAGATCCTACCCAACATGATATCTACCCCCATGCTTTGTTATCCATAAAAAGAAATCTTAACCGCATGATATCTAATTCGCATGCTTATTCAAAAATAAACCTAACCGCATGATATCTAGTTCGCATGCATTTATTCGAAAAAAACGAAAATAAATGACTCAAAAAACACTTTTCCTTGTGTACCCTCCTCACGGGATTCTTAAGGTTCGGGTTTGGTTCAACCTAAGTTCGGGCTCTATGTTCACTATATGCCGGGTTAGGTTCTAAAGTAATAGGTTCTCGAATTGTCCTTGCCGGTGCCCCATTGGGCTGCCGAACCCTCAATCCTGGCCCATCACAGGCTTTAGGGGATCGAGTTCAATTTCGAGGGAACACACCTCCTTATGTCCATGCGGAGGTGATTACCATCACGAGGACCATAAGGCGTGAGCTCCAGGAGCAATCCACTATCCCATGCGGAGGTGAAAACCACACGAGGGCATAGTCTCTCACTCCTACTTAAATAGGACAGAGCGGGGTTTTAGCTCATGTTATGATAATGCAGCTGTGCAGTGTGTGAGGAAAAGCGAAAAACAATCAATAAAAACACTCAAAATCAATTCCCAAAACACACAATTATTCTGAAATCATTAGCAAACAGATCAGTACAACTATTTAATTGTCAATCAAATTAAATTAAAGAAATCAAAATACAAACAAAACTTATTAAAAACCAAACAAGGGATCAAAAATCAAATTAAAACGAATTTGTAATTTTTAATTGCAAAGACAATTAATTAATCGACTATCGGCTTGACTCTCTAAAAAAAAGGTCCCCAGCAGAGTCGCCAAGCTGTCGAAACGATTTTTTTCTTGAAGGGTGAAAAAAGGTGAGATTTTGAATACCACATTAATTCTTAATTGCCTCTTTTCGTTTTAAAAACATATGCGATTTAAAAGACCTCTCGTTTCGAAAAATTTGAATTTCCTTTACGATCGACAAATACGGTTCGAAGAGTCGCCACCAATCTTTGATTAGGGTGTGATTGGACACCCAAAAATGCTTTGTCATTTTAAATAAAAATTAATTTTAATTAAAACAACAAATTGAGGTCTGCGTTACCAAAATCCGAGTTCGGGAGTCGGTTACGTGTGGGGAAGGATTAGCACCCCCACAACGCCCTAAATTGGTACCTAGTCGATTAATTAACGTCTTTGCAATGAACTTTACAAATTCGAATTTATTTTAATTTTTAATCCCATAAAACAAAAATGTAAATTTAAAACATTCAAAAACACTCAAACAAATTAACTTAAAATTACCAAGTCATTTTAGAAAGATAAAGAATGTTCGATTATTTACAAATATCGAGACCAGATCTTAAAGATATAACAACCCTTTCTCGATATATTTAAATAAACGAACATTTCTTTTTCTCTCGTTCCCAAATTTTAGGTGACGAATCAATTTTTTTGTTTCACTTTCGGGATACATTTTTACTTTAAAATCATTAAAAGCGGACCTCAAATCAGTTATGACGGCCCACTTCAACAACTTTAAATTAAAAGGGTATTACCCTTAGTCCGATTATGTAATAGGTCGAGTCATGCAAATAAGGCTATCATGCAAATTGTGAAAAAAATATCAAGCTAAAATTAATTAAACAAAAAAAACATACAATGTAGTATACAAAAAAAAAATATAAATACGTAATACATATTTTAATTAAAAATAATAAATCATGCATATTAACGTATTATGTATACAAATGTGACCTAAATATAAAAACAAAATCATAACATGCCAGACTATGAATTTTCAAAAAAACGATATATACATATTAGAATTAGGACTATATTTAAATAAATGTAAAATTCTACATACAAATTAAAACTAAGTAGGGATCTAAATGAAACATGCGTATAAATGAGGGATCTACACCCGAATAATCTAACAAAATTATAACTAAAACTAAAAACCGGAAAATAACTAAATTAGGACAAACACAACAGGCCAAATTCAAAAATTAACCCTCAGGTGACTAATTTACAATAAGACACTTAAAT